CAATGGCAGGCGTGCCATATTAATTCATGTACATTCATGTTAGGGTGTTTTTGCAGCTTCCGCTGTTGCAGGAGAAAATTCGCTTGCCAAAAGGCGCTCTGTGGATGGCTCCTCAGACTTGCGACAACTTGCAGGCTGTGGCCATGGCTGCTGCCGTGATGTGTGTGACGAAGCCGTCTCGCATGGAGCTCTGGACCCGTGGCCACAATCGCTGTACCGAGATCAGACGCATGGCTAGTCTGTGATCACTGAAGCTATAGAGCTTAATTAAGTCAATTTGGTGACATTTGGGGCTGTTTTGATAGGTCTGGGAATTTGCCAAAAAAATTATGCTGGCTGAGGCGTGGAACACTTGTTTGGGCGCCTGCGCGCGCAGCATCCCTCAAGCCAGATGACGTGCAGATCATACTTCACAGCGATGGCCAGAGACGCCGTGACATCTTCGAAGAAGCTTCCCAAGGAGAGAAGATTGCCTGATGCCGTGCAGCCACTTTCTGAGCCAGAGCATCTGGGACGCAGTCTTGCTTGCGTGACATACCCTAGTTTTGAAATATTTTGAATAGTTTTGATGCAGGTTCCGATTATGTTCGGAACGCGCGCTTCGGCATGCTCTTGAGCTTGTGGCGTACTGCTCTGGCTGGGATGTCGAAGAATTGCGGAATGCCTACGTCACTATGTGCGAGCAGAATGGATTTCAGTGTGATATGTTCGGGTACGTGCCTGAAGATATCCCGGATGGTGGTCTTCCGCCAGCTGATGATTCTGACGGGAAGACGCTTGACCTGTATTATGTCTTTTGGAATGCGTGCATGAGATGCAGCTGTGTGCTGCCCGTGGCCGTCCAATCTGATCTATCTAACCAAATCTTGTTACTTCCTGCAGGCCGCGTGCTGCAAGAGATTGCGCCGACCTCTTCTCCCAGATAAAGCAGGAAGCCGACATGCAAGCGGAGGGTTGGGATGTCGACGCGGCGGCAGAGGCCAAGGGCGAGAACGCGGATGTGGAGCACCTACCAGATGTGGAGAACTTGTGCAAGGTTTTTGCAGCGCAGGCCTCAGACCCCATGAAGCCGTTTTCCTCTGAGAGCCGTGGTACGCTAACAACTCTTCGAGGGGCGCTGCGTCTCGGCTTTCTAGGGCATGCTGGTAGGGCTGGGCGCGTGTCCTGGGATAACCTCGGAATGTCATGAATGTCTGGGGCACGCTATAGATCACCATAGATCCTCGTTTTGTAACTAAGGCAGCGGACGGGAGATAGATTCAACAGCTTGTTCCAGCTCCTTGTGTATCTTCGAAGCGGCCCGGATGGTGTGGATTCTGGTTTTGTCAAGTGCGACCGCTCCGTTCGGAAAGTTTCCAAGCAGCTCAATTGGTACCAGATGCTCGACTGCAACATGCCGTGGCCGTGATTCCATGTGATTCCTAAATATTCCTAAGGTAATTTGTTTTCGTATTATCTCTCCATCAGAATGCTGCCTAGGTTCAACGAGAAGGTCTTGGCAGAGATGCGGCGACAGGAAGAGATGCCAAGCTACAGGCAGCGCACAGGCAGGCTTGACAAGTGGAAGGAGTTGTCAAAGGCTGCTCGTGATGCACTGGAAGTCGAACTGCCAGCGGCAGACCGCCTGACGTGTCCTGGCAGCACATGACTACGGCCACATTCATGCTGAGATATCAAGCTTTTCTTGGGTCTTTCCTTGGGTTGGCTCCTGATCCTTAGGAATGGCAATGTGGTGCTATTCAATCTGCCCAATCGAACTGGGAGCGTTTGCTTGGGCATGATTCTGAGCCTGTGGAGAAATCATTCCAAACCCAGAATCTGTGCATCCAGCGTTGCTACGGAGTTGTGCGTGGCGTTCCGAGCTGTTGAATTGGACGCTGTGCAGGGCAAGCCAGGCGAGTACTTTTGCACTGCCCACTTGGTCGCGTGGGTAGTGCGACTAGAAGCGCTGGTCTCGGTCTTGGATACGGAGACCAAGGATTCCATGGAGAGTCACGGGGACAGCTTCACTGTTCACTTGACTCCTGCTTCCCAGGATGCCGTTTCTGCGGCCGCAAATCTTGTGGGATGGAACATGGCCATGCCGTCCATAGGTGAGCTGGAGTTGCCACAGGCTGCCGATGCACCCGTGCAGAATCCAGTCAACAAGAGAAAGAGGAAATTTCGGGCTAGCTTCTTCTCGGCTGGCAAGGGCAAGATGGTTCATGTCACGCCCAAGCCGTCCGCTGACAAAAGCGAGAAGACGACATCGGGCAAGAAAAAAACGTGTCAGCCCAAGAGTTTGCCTGCAATTGCGGAGGGGGAGGAGCTGGAAGCCTTGCCGCAAAATTTCAGGCGCAGCAAAGCCGGCCGCAGGTTGATGGAAAGCATGATGGACAAGTGCCTCGCAGTGGATGAGACGGTGTTTGCATCGAAGCCTATGTTCCCGTTGCCAGACAGGGTATGCCGCCTCAAGAATGTCCCATCCGCTGTAGATGTGACCTGGAGCCAGGTCCGCAGCCGAGCCTCCGCTTACATGGAATCGTCGTTTTGGAAAGCGCGTTCACCAGATCTCTTCGGAAATCTTGTATATCGCGAATTCGCAAAAGTTCTGGCTCAGCTGAATGCCGAGCCGCCTAGAAGAGATGCTTGGCTTGCCCTCGTCAAGGGGATATGCGAGCACACTGCAAAGTCTCTGTCGTGAGATCTGACCGGGGGACGGATCATTGCTCACCAGCAGGGAGAAATGAATGCACATGCCGAGTTTTTGCAAGGGTCATACGGTTGGTACTAAAAATCCTGCATGTCCTGACTCCACTATAATACCATACGTACCATAAGTTTCAAGGTTTAGGGTTCTTGGGGTCATGCAGGATATTCAGTATCAACAATACGCAGCTGTGGTTCCCCCAAAGTCCTTCAAACCCTGGGTAACCTCATTTTACAGAGCGAAATCTCTGTAAAATGGGGGTACCCAGGGGTCACCGTAAGTATTAACCAGGGACTCAAGCCCCCAAGGTTCTCTTAAAAATGACCCTGGGACCCTCATTTTACAGAGATTTCGTGTTTCGTGTTAAACCCCGGGTACCCCCATTTTACAGAGCCCCTTTGCCTGGGTACCACCGTTTTAGTCAGTAAAATGGGGGGTCCCAGGGTCGACCCTGAATACGAAGGGGGATTTCCATAGCACTCGTCGAAGGAGCCCGAGTCGTGATAACATAGAGGTCGTCAAGGAAAGCGACGAGGCTGTCAGCGGGCTGCAGTGCGGCGGCGGCCTCGCAAAGGGCGCGGTGTTGCCCCAGTGCGTACAGGGCTGGTGCCAAAGGGTCGCCCTGTTGGCAAACCTTGCCTTGGGCCACATCCCTACATGGCCCCTCCCCATCCCACCAGCAGTAGGTTGATGGGGCTCCGTAGGACATGCGTGCGAACGGGAGTAGTTCGTGCGCGCATGCTTGAAGCTCTCGGAGGAAAGCGGTCCGGGACATGATGGGACATGCTATCGTACGCAGTGCGCCCGTCCAACGACACCAATACCGCGTCCGGCCGCAGTTCCAGCGCTGAGCGGACATGGGCCGCTGGAGCGTCAGTGCCTGCCCGGGCCTGCAGAGCAAATTGGTAAGGACGCGTGGCCTGGTCAAAGGCCAAACACGTCGCCGGTCGCCGGACCCGCACCGCCGGCCTTCTGGAGTGCCGTGAGCCATGCCAAGGCTGTGCCCTGGACGATGTCATCCGGTACCCGGGCGTTGGCCAGCCGCGTAGCCGCGTTGGCCAAGAATTCGAGGGCCGTAACGCGACCGCAGCAACAACGGTTGATCCGAGACAGATGTCCGGGCCTGCTCTGTGAGCATGCCCCCCCAAGTCGTGACCACGCCGCCTGGGTGAAGACCCCGGCGGCCTATTGCCGCACGAAACGTATTGCCTGGCTGTTCGATCGCCCGCTGATTTCTGCTCCTGGCACGAAGAGGTCTTGGGGCCTAGCTCGGCGAAAATTCTGTGTGAGCGGCATGTTTGCCGCATGTTTGCGGCGCTCTGCAGCGCCAGTTTGGCGAAGTCTGGCGGACATCAACCTCAAAGCGTGGATTGGCTTTCCTGAATGCCAACTTGGAAGCAACAACCACATCCAATTCAGAGGATCTGGCGCCAAAAAATGTCCAACCCCTTTCCGAGAATGGCAGCTGTGATGGTTTCCTTGGGCCTGGGCGTTGAGCGCTTTGTTTTTGTTTCGGCGGTATTGCATGGAGTGCCAGTGACAAACCGCGCAGGTCCCGTAGGATCTGGCGGTCAAGGAACACTTGCTGGCTTGTGCTGATGCTGACATTGCATGGGGTTCAGAGCGGGGTCGAGGATTGAAAGCGCCTGAGCACCATTTTGGTTGTGTTATAAGAATCTGGGTATTTTTCTCCTCCAATGCCGTTACCAGCTACAAAGTTTTTTTTGTTGGGGGGCATGCGTTCTTTCCAGAAGTTTGCTGTTTCTGCGTGGGCCTGCATGGTTGGAAAGTTCTGCACACTTTCCAATAGTTGTTGACACGCAAAATGAAAATTTACCGCAACAGACTCCCGATCATGTAGACCCAACCATCTTAGACCTGGATCATGAAACCCCATCAGCCCCAACCCCAAAGCGAAACATCTGGAGCCCAGTGGCAGTGGCTGTTGCGTTGGTACTGTGTTGACCAAACCTACGTCGCCGCCGCCATTTTGGTTGTCATGTTGCCTGATGACTTGCTGGCGTTCATGGCGCATTGAAGTGGTGCTGCGAAATCTCGCGCGGCACTGCTGCAAATGCCTGCAGGTTGTTTGCAAGCAGAACACCCATAAAAACCAGCCCGCTGCCAAGATTACCATCACCACCTCAACCAAAAACACCGCAATGACGGACTGACCACACGTTAAAGATTTGCAGATTAGATTCATGCTGCGGCCTATGCGCGCGGCAGTTATTGTGTTGGCAACTTGGCAAGACAGAGATGACGCAAAGTTTCATGGGGTGGCATTGGTGCCGGGGTTGCGCGTGGCGAGGCAGCTTGCATCACAGGCTTCCACACGACGAAGCTCGATGCGGAGGACCGGTTGTCTTTTGACATGCCGAATGCAAGTTGCGTCTTTATCTAGGCCCCTTTTCGAGCATCAAACGAACCTGCCATGACATCTATTGAGTCTATTGCCTGCGAACTTTTGCTTGCAGGAAGGCGGCCAGATTGCCTTTGTGCAAACGCGAGTGCAACAGGTAGGTCGAACGAAAAAACACCGCAAGGCCTTGCTTGCAGTGGTGCTGTCAGACATCAGCTCCTGGATGTGTTGGGCGACCCCCGAAATGGAACAAACTCGCGGGCATGCACAGCAATACTCTGGACTTCAAGCAGCCTTTTTTCATGTCGTGCACCTCGGAGCAGGTGGCCTCAGTGAACATTTCGGAGCCGGACGGTGTTTGCGTTGACTTGAAGGCTCGGGTAGTGCGTCGGGATCTTTTACCTGCGGAATCCTGCGGAGTACATCAGCAAGCGATGTTGGATATTGTATGAAAAATGACAGTCTGTTTGAATGGATTCCCCCTCGGCTTAGGCAATCAATTTGACCAGTTGAAGCTTACGGGGGCAGTCAGCAAGAAGCGACGAGGATTTTCCATGTTTGGCACCAACAAGAATGTTGTTGTGTTGTATGGTTGACTTTGCTGCTATTTGCAAAAGGAGTTCAGCAAGAGCGCTGGTGCTCCAACCTTCTTTCTTTGCCTCAGAGATTCACATCGATCATTCACGAGTTTGCTATGCATTGCATGTGCAACCAAAGCCAGCTGCAACGCTACCCTAATCAAAACGGGCGACGCGTGGGGGGCTCTGCGCCAGGATTCTGATTTCTGCACTGGTCACGCAGGCAAGCGACCTGCAGCGTCCCATCAATGACGTGCTGCAGGAGCATCCAGGCCTGGAAAATGTTCCCGGCTACCAGAAGTTCCTAGAGTCCTAGAGCACTCGTAGCAACCGGAACGTTGTGCTTGAACAATTTTGAACAGATTGTCGAGGTTGCTATTGGGTTGGATTGATTCCACCCTCAGCTCTCAACTTTGCAGCAAGCACATGATCACATGGATTTTTTCGAGATGATTCTGCATGCAGGCAAAGATGGCTGGTGCGTTTTCGGAGCTCTAGGAGACAATGCTGCATACAAATTTCTTCCAGCAGAAGCTGTGTCAAACATATCATGTGCCACATGGCGTAGAAAGGCACGCCAACTTTGAATGTGTTTGCAGGAATTTGGGCGTCCCAATGTGCTGCTGCTAAGCTTGCACTTTGTCCGTTTGTGCGCACAGCACTGCAATATGGCATTGGAATCTTGTCATTGGCAAGGGCTCTGCAACGGGCGTTGATGTGTTACCTGCGCAACCTCAGTTCAGAAGCGCTGCTTTGGGACAGCAGGCGTTAGAGATGACGTTTTCCTATGCACGCGTGTAAAATTTAGAGGCAGGTCGAACAACGTCGATGCAGCCGATCCCCCAGCCCCTCCAGTTTTCCCAATTTCCGCCCAGCAACCATGTTTTAGCTTGAGAGGTAGCGCGGCATTCTGGCAACATGTCGAGCTTTGCAGCCGTGGCTGATGCTCTAGCTAGTCACCTGGCTGCCTTGCTGGGTTTTGCTGTTTAGTGCTAGAGCAGCCAAGAGCAGCCAAGGCAAATATTTGAGGACAGCCAGGCTGATGAGTCCGCCGAAAAGAATGCAATTTCCAGGCAACCATCCATGTGATTGGCTGTGTATCGTCTCTGAAGTTCGAATGCATCAGGTTAGAGCATGCCGGCTTTGTTCAAAATTTGCCGTGTTGGACATTGGCATGAAATAGCTGTGTTTTGAACATCGTGTAGCACAGCTGTTTTGTAGCTCATGGGACAAGGTGGATTGGAGGTCACCGTGCGAGACCACCTATATCCTTATGATGACGTGTACTGCATCGCCATGGGTTGGTGCCCCGACGCTGCTTGGGATGTTTTTTTTTGTGGGTGTTCGTCGGGGTGAGGCATCATACGCTCCATTGTTGCCTGGGTGCGTGTTCTTGAAGGCATTGTCCTTGCACACATCGGTCGCTCTTTGGGAAGGAGGGGCCAGATTACTTGGGGGTTGACAGAGGTTTGCAGCCAGTTCAAGCCAACCCCTTGCCCACTTGCGAGCTTGTCATTCGCGTGCAAGCGGCAAGAAGTCAAACTCATGCCCAGGTATGGTTTGGAGCGCCATGCGGCGGTTCACAACCTGAGCTACGTAACAGAGATCTCCAAGCAGACGTGCAGCAGATTGCAGAGCTCCTTCCGCAATATTTCCGCGCAGGACTGTGACAATGCCGATATATGCCAATATGGCCGACATCTCGCAGCTGACAGGTCCTCAATTTCTTTTGTGTAATTTTGATGCAAGTTCAGCGGAAGCAGCCAGGCTTGCAGTGCAATAGTGTTTGATGTTTTCTGGCGCAGTTTGCCTTGAACGTTGCGAATCATACATGTTCAGTCATTTGTCTTCCTGCCACCGTGATGTCCGCAAGGAGTTGATGACAGAGTCTGACGCAGATGAGAACCAGCGGCTTGATTTCCCATAAATAGCTGCCAGCCCTACATCCGCTTGTGATGTTCGTGTGATGTTATAGCTGCGTTGCAAGATGCACTTGGGAAAATCTCTGAGCTGCTGAGGGAATGGTGCGCACCAATACTGTGAAAACGCAAGCTCGGCTGGGATAATTATGAAGAAGAAGGCAATCGCAAAAGGATGCATCGATGCATCGAAACATTATGCGGCATGACAAGTGTGGGCTGCCAGTTCCGCCAGTGCCGCCGCCGCCACCGCCGCCGCCTCGGTAAACGCTTGGGCTCACCCCGAGCAGGCCAATCGCCTCCCGCATGCCCAAGCCCAGGTCCGATGGCAGAACAGCAAACAGCATGCAACACTTTCCTTCTCTGTATAATTGCTTACGCTGCCAAAGAGAACGTCGAAGGTTGTCCAAGTTACTGTGGAGTCCAGATCCGCTGGTGCAGATCAGTTCCTTGGTTCTGCCAAGAGGTTAGTAGAGAAACGTTCAAGAGTTTGTGCAGGATTGAGGGTTTCAAGCTTATATTAAAGGCATGCGGTCCAGGGTGTACGGGTTGTTACGGTTTTCTGTCTAGTAGTCAGGGACCCTCAGTTTTGAAAAGCTGTGAAAATAGTATCGACCCATCACTTCTTGCATTCTTTGCATGCAATCTGTGTGGACAAGAGTGCTTTTGCAAGAGGTACGCGCCGCATGTTGTCCACTCATGTTTGCAGATGGGGGGAGTCGGAGACCCGCAAGCCCCCCTGCTTTTGTGGGTGCAAGCTAGCCTCAAAGAGTGTCGTCCCATCACCGTGTAGGCAAAGATCCAAAACGCCTTCTGCTGAAAGCCCTAAACGATGTTCTTACTATCACCATGCTTGGAAAAGTCGCCTGCAAGAGCATTTTCAAGAGGTTTGTCCTATCAGCGACGCCTGATCATCATGCATGTGCTGCACCCCCCCCACTCTCTCCCAAAGTCCAGTTGTCTAGAAAACCGTGCAATGCCACCCGAACCTTTTTGCAACGCTTGCCAGCAGGGGTGCAAGCAGCGAGCATATCATTCCGATCATGTTTGCAAATGGGGGGCCTGCCATGCCAGGAGGCCTCCCATGCTGTGCGACATGCTGCTGTTCTAACATGTTCTAACCCACGCCACCCCAGGCGGCCAAGCTGCTTAAACCAATTTCTATTGTTTCTATTAAGGTTGAGGACTTAAACGCAATTAGTCAATAACGCTCAACAACAACATCTCTAGAATCCAAGACTTGGACTGGCCACATGTGACCCTGAGCATGACCTGGGGCTGCTGGTGGCCCACGCTGGAGCTCACCCACCGACTCCCCCCCCCCCCCCCCCCCC